GAGGAGTCACAGTCGTCCATGGTGAGCAATATGAGCATGATGGACTCCAACCAGGGTCAGTCCGTCGACGCGATTCTGGGTTCTGCTCTAAAACGTCCAAAGAAGAAGAAGATGGAAATTTGCGTGGCCGAAGAGTAAGTGCATTCTACCGAACACAACATAGCAGGTCTAAGTTTTCATTGAATTGCAGCACCGACTACAATGCCTCCAGCATCGCCGAGTATGACTGGCCACCGCCCAAAGGTTGCTGTCCCTCGAAGAATCGAGACACCTTTATGATCCAAGAGCAAGTGGCGCTCTATCTGGGCATCACCAGCTTCAAGCGCAAGTACCCGGATCTGCCACGCCGCGCGGTAGACATGGAGGAGCGCAATTGGCTGCAGGAGAAGGGGCTGGTCAGCGAGAAGTTGTGCGACCTGGGCATCACTGCGGTTTGGGCCTCCGACATATTGGACATCATGTACGCGGACTTCTACGACAAGTACGAAGAGTACAAGGAGTATATTCGCCAGAAGCATTTGCGCGAGATCGAGGCTAAGCAGAAAGCCCTAGGACTGACAGTCGGCACCGGACGAGGTCTGCAAGCGCGCGACCGTGCCATGCTTTCGGCCAGCAAGTGGAACGTTTACTTCAACAAGACGTAAGTTACATTCTAGCAGTGCTTTGGTAAATGAATCACTCTGTAATATCTAACCATCTTGTTACGCTTTCGTATTCAGCCGTAAGGATGAGCGTTTGTCCTGCCTGGACCTGCAGACATTCACGATGAATCAGCCGCAGCAAAAGACCGCACCCAACTGTACCCGCCTAGAGCGCTCCATTGCTGATTTGGTACGGGCAGTGGCAGAAGCGGCGAATATACCGGCACCGCCTGCTCTCCTGCCGCCCCGCGTGTACGACGAGGCCTTCCGCCACTCAGATTACGCTTATCCACTCACGGTAGTGCCGGATCAGTTCTCGTTGGCCTACCGCCAGTTTCAGCCCGCCGAGCTCCGGTAAGACGCAGTCTTAGTCTCTATTGTTTCCACCGTTCCTAACAATTCCTTTTTACAGAGCCTATCCTCTGGACACAGCGCTGGACAAACCGTCGACCGATCTAATGGCTCAGCTGTTACAGCGCAAATCCGAAGCTGTGGACAGCGAAGAAATCAAAACGTCCGCCTCAGCCACCAAGGTTCTGGAACAAGAGCAGTTTGCCATCAAATCCGAAACAGTAGCGGCGCCCGTTCGACGCAGCAGGAGGTCGGCCCGCCAGCAGACAGACAAGATTCGCACGGCAAGCAGCTCCAGCACGTCCTCCGCTCAATCGGTCTCATCCGCGTCCAGCGGCAATGGAAGCAGCAGTGATACGGTAAGTTGAGCGGCTAATTCGGGGCTTGGTAAGAAGAGAATTGATCTATTCATTTGGTTTGATAAAATATATAAAATAGAGTTATAATTAACTTGTTTTGAGGCACTGGTGCAGAATCCTTAAAAACTAAAATAAGCATTTAAGTAAGCAATGGGCTACAGTTGAAATAATGGCTTTCAATCCTTATGCATTTCAGGATAGCGGCGATGAAAGCGACTCTAGCAGCAGCTCGAGCTGTAGCAGTTCGACAGGTGCTTCAAGTGGAGCAGGCAGCGACGACGAGGATGGAAATGAGTTTTCATCGTCGACCAGGCTGTCCAGCTGCGGTGTCTGTCTGCGCAGTCAGCACCGTAATGCTAGGGACATGCCGGAGGCTTTCATCCGTTGTTACACATGCCGAAAGCGCGGTAAGTAGTCCTCCATCCTTTGCTCATTTTTCATACTAATATATGTGCTTTTTTACAGTCCATCCCAGCTGCATAGATATGCCGCAGCGCATGGTGGGTCGCGTGAGGAACTACAACTGGCAGTGCGCCGGGTGCAAGTGCTGCATCAAATGCCGTAGCAGTCAACGTCCGGGAAAGATGCTGTATTGCGAGCAGTGCGACCGAGGCTATCACATCTACTGCTTGGGCCTCAGGACGGTCCCAGATGGTAAGTGCTTCGTGGCTGAACTAAAAACATTTGCAGAGCTAGTTGCTCCGTTGTGTTTACAGTTGGTATGATTTATATAGGATAATACTTATATTATCTTATAGTATCTTAATATTGTTTGAGTGCAATGATTTAAAATAGGCAGACTACAAAACAACGTAACTTTTAAAATTACAGGACGTTGGAGCTGTGAGCGCTGTTGTGTGTGCATTCGATGCGGAGCCACCAAACCGGAAGGTTTGGCCCACGTGGCCGCCCTGTCTCAGACGTCCGGAGGACCGTCGCCCAACGGAGACCGCTCAAAGGTGGCGCGCAACAAGCGTTTGAAATGGGTGCACGAGTATAGCATCGATCATGTGGCGAAGTTACGGGAGCACGCCGCCATGTTCTGCGTACCATGTGCGCGAACGAAGCCCGCCAAGCGGCATTCGGTCGGGACGGCTACAGTCCCTTCTGTTTTGGAGGCCACGTCCGCGAGAACGGATGACAGCCCGATGCCAAGTCCCGGCCTGACAACCAACGGAGGACCCTCCCTCTCGCCAACAGCCGCACTGAGTCCAAAGGCAGCTGCGTCCGTGGCATCGCTGCCGCCCGTTCTGGAAGCGACGGCGGTGACCACAAACGGCAGACGGCAGACGGGGGGTAATGCGGTTAATATCACGACAATGCAGTGCAGCAGCAGCTTCAGCGGAAACGGGGTCTCAGAGGATGCGGCGACTGTCACTGGTACGGGGACAGCCACGGCGGCAGCAGGAGCACCCGCTGCCACTCCAATAGGCATAGCTCCGCCGCCTGTTGTTGCCTGAGTGGGGGTCATACGTTATTGTGCCAAGCGCACTCTAACGGACTTATAGTAAGCGCCGGACGCGCCGCCCTCTACCAAGCCTCTAAAGTGGTCGTGACCACAGCCCGCAAACCACAGCCGCCATCCCAAAAACACAGATGCATAGTATTAATGAATGCGACAAGGGGAGTGGATTTAGAATGGAGAGAATATTTAAGGTTTTTTTTTTACTATGATTATTCTTTATTGTCAGTACATTGTATTGATTGTTTTATACATATATATATATATATGAATATTCCTATTATAGTTATGTTACTTAACTTTGCTAATGTTAACAACGAAACCACATAAACACACACATGACACGCACCCCGACCACCAAGTAGACCACGTTATGCTTAAGTCTTTTTTAACGCCTAAGTTGAATAGCCTAGCCCTAAGTCACAACTTCATTTGTTTTGTAGTGAATTCATTTGACGCATTTTAGTTCAATTGCGCAATCGCCCAATTGTCCACGCGTTTTTAACGAAAGAAGAAAGTGCTGTTCTGGCAGTGCAGCATTGTTTGTATTCTCGTGTCCTTGGAGGTTTGGTCCACGTGCTGGGCCATGTCCATGTCTATAGGGCTAGATGTTTCGTGTTACTGTTTACTTTTGAATCGAAATAGTGTCTATTTCTCAGCCTCCAAATCTAAGCCACCGTGCACCTTTGCATCTGTATCTTCTATATAAATAATTTTGATTTTAACTGTCTTATGCGCCGAATTTTTTGAAAATGTATATTATGTGTGTATTTATAAGAACCACAGCCCTGTAGCCCATGTAAGTAGTTAAGCACAGCCTAAGTAGTGTCTTCATGTGCGGTAGTTGCTTGTTTTTTTTTCGTTTAGTTTTGGTAGATTCGTAGGCGGAGGACGGACTTGGCTCGATCGAGGATCGGAGAGCCGGGTTCCATTCTGTAATCTTATGGCTAAGAATGTATTATAAATGTAATTTATGCTAACACATAACCCAACAATCGGACCCACACACAAATATATATATTTGTATTTATATTTATATATATATAAATATAAATATACTATCTGTAACTATAAGATCAAAGCACAAGAACAGATACAGATGTGGCTAGCGAGGATTAGGAGGAAGAACCATGTGTGAAATAATGTTAGGCAAACAGTTCTAATACCGCCGCAGAATAGGTAGCTCTAAGTTTTTGGTCTACTTAAGACAAAGTGGATCTACACACGGGCCCAGCTGCAGACGCTGAAGAGACCTCGGTAATCCACTTTCCGCGGAAAGTAAAGCTTAAGTCCTTCATATTAAGTGAAATTATTCTTATGTATACATACTAAAAGATTTATTTTTAAGTCGAATAAAACAGCAGCATTAATAACCTGGCCTTACCACAAACTCTACGCCACGATTTTGGGCATCAAGAGCTCCTCCAGCTCGTGGCCGTCGCGCCATGTGTGCACGGAGCAGGCCAGTTCCTGGCCGTGGGCGGCCATCTTTTCGTGCAGTTCGAACCCGCGCCGGATGCAGGCCACGTCCTTTTCCTGCAGTCGCTTCATAGCGCACAGATCGTTGCAACTATCGCCCACATAGATCACGCGTTCGTACCGTCCGCTGCACGAAAGCTCCTCTAGCACGGACCCTTTGCACAAGTTGGAGGGGCAGAGATTGCAGTCAGTCTGCTCCTGGTAGGGCAGCACCAGCACCTCGCCGCTCCTTTGGACGCAGGCGGGATTGGTGAACACGCCGCCGGCAAAGAGGCACTCAATGGAGTACGCCTGCAGCCACTCTCCAATGAAAAAGGAGTTGGAGTCACTGACGATGCACAGGTCGACCTCCTGGTTTCTGGCCAACCGGCGCACCACTCGCAGCATTCCAGGCACGGCTCTCAGGCTGCGCACCCGCAATCCCACCGACGCAGAGTTTACCTTGTGCTCGCCATGCAGTGCCTGCAACACTCGGCTTATGAAGCTCAGCCAGCCGCACTTGGGGATCAGGTCCTGCAGCTCCTTGCGTTGCCTGGTGGGCAGCAGCTCGCTCACCGCCAAATAGGAGTCCTGCTCCACGATGGTTTTATCGAAGTCAATTGCGACTAGGGTGCGATGTCCAGACGGTGTGAATTCACTGACACCGCGTCTAAAGCCCAAAAGGCAGCGGCTCAATCGGAAGCATCTCGAAATTAAAAACATTTTGGGTTGGAAAACAAACAATTTGACTTTAATATCAATACACACTCATTTACATACAGGAGATATGGGTCAACAAAGCACATCAATATCGATAAGGTAGCGCCAATATCCTAAGGTGCACGAAGTCCCATGGAAGCTAGAATCTTAGTTCCCTCGACCATGCCAGACATGTCCGTTTGGCTGACAAACTTGTGATTATAATATATGTGTTTGTATATCGCATAAATTTAGATATTGTCATTGAAAAATGTTGTTTCGTTTTCCGTTGCGTAAAATATTTTCCAAAAAGGTTCAAATATCTAAAATACATTTATAGTTTGTGTGTTGGTAACTTGCAAAAAGCTATGCAAATGCATATGGAACAGCAAAGATCGATACTTGTATTAATGACTTCCAACAAATATGGGTGCACTATATCGCACGTACTTGTATAATTAATTACATTGGCGAATTCATTGGCTAACTATATAAAATGAAACATAACGCCAGCTAGGTGACTTCTACTGAAACAACCAACGTATCTTTCAGCTTTGGTTCCACAGATCAATGTGGCATTGCCGTTTGGAATAAACGAGTACTCTGTGATTATTTCTTATTCTTGAGAAAAGTGAATATTTGCTGTCCAAATGGAATTCGAAGTTAGTTTGTGATTAAATTACGTTTGCTTCGCGTGGAAGTTTTGATATTGTAAACCTGGTAACAGTTTATATCCGATCCGAGATCGGTTCCCAAGAGGGTATTACTAAGCAGTTATTTGCGTTTTAAAAATCTCAGCTTGGTGGCGATATTCAGCACGATATTCGATCAAATGGACAATTAAATTATGTTGCTATAGAGTATCCAAAGCACAACTTATTCATTGGACTATAGAAACATAACTTAAGGCTCATATAGGCCAGTGTGATGTAATACTCCTTTCCAAGGGGCAAACACTGATCAATACAAGCCTCCATCGACTTCTGTTAGGTGGGCGATTGCCGATCGGTGCCAGCTGCCAAGGGACTCCAGTTGTCCTGCCTCTGATGCCATCTCGCTCTATTTCCCGCATTGCGCCTAAACTGTGGTCTGCACGTTCTGCACGGCCTTCGAGAGCTCTACCTTGGAAGGTATTAGATAGAAAGCAGGCGTCATCGTCTCCCCGCACGGACACTTGCAGGCTGCAATAAATGGAGGAATGAGAGGGGGGGAACCGATGTTGGTGGAGTAGAAGAACCAACCGTTGATCCAGCTAAAGTTTCCCAGCTTCTGCTCGCACTTAGGACAGTACAGGCGGCCCTGGGTGTTCAGCATGATGCGGTGCATCCAGGCGATGGGCTCCACAAAGAGTATGCTGCGGCAATAATTTGGCGTGCTTTCGTGGCCGGGTGAACCGAGCGACGACTGGCGGATGCGCTCGGACAGCTGCTCCAGCATGCGAGCACCACTGGGATTCTGGGCCTGATCCTGTGATTGAGCCTGCAGCTTCGCTCCAGCTACTTCTTCTTTCTCCTTCGGAACCACCTCCTGCGACGGCCTGTCTCGCGGCTTGTGCTCCAGTACATGCGACTTGGAGGCAAGGACGCGGCGGCAACGACGACAGCGAAACACTATGGGCTCCGGGTTCTCGCGCGTGATATCCGGATCCGGACGGACCACACTGTGAAAGCTTTGCGGCAGGATCTTGGCCTTGCGCATCTGCTCGCCAGCCAAGCGTAAGCGGTGTATCTTGTAGCGCTGGCAGTTGGGGTCGATCTTGCAGCCCATGCGGCGGAAGAGCTTTAGCTGGCTGACAAAGCCAGCGTTTGGCTGGACAAAGCGGCGTTTGGCCTTGACCAGCTCGTAGGCGGGGAGGAAGTCCAAATTGTGTCGCTTCATCATGTAAGCGATCACAGTGGAAGAGCTGCGACTGACGCCGAAGTAGCTGTTAAAGGCACAAGAAATCAGAGGCCAAATCGCAGCTTGGTCTGTCTAAGATGCTCACCAGTGGACAAGGACATTGCCGTGCTGAGCCAGGGCTGTGCTGATAAAGTCCACACAGCCCTCTAGATGCTGTAGGATATCTTCGCGCGGCATGTCGGCAACTGAAACAAGGGTTTAAGTGATGCTTTGGCACACTTGCGGAGCTACTGATCTGATCTTACTTTGAATATATTTGGTGGTCAGAAAGCTGGCCTCCAGAATGTGCTGCGGCAGTGGCACCGAGTCCAACGTGAGAATGTGGGTGATCTTAAAGGAGCGCAGTGTCTCCATGTGCGTGGCCGCGGTCAGGTTGCCTGGTGCAGAAAGGTTTGAAAAATCCATCGATCGCAAGGATTTGAACTATATGCTTACCTAGAAATAGGCCAGTGTCCACCTCGTCGATGCTCACCGGCCCGCCGTCGAAGTCCTCGCGCGTCAGGACGCCGGAGTCCTGGGCCTTGCCACTGCCCGTCGAGCAAGAAGGCCTCGCCTGCGGCTGAGACTGCTTCATGGCCAGGCAGCAGATACCAGCTGGAGGCAGAGGAAGAAGAAGAAAAAGTGCAGGACCTAACGTGGGAGTGCTAGTGTGACCGCACCATCACGGGGTCTCCGATTTCAGGGAGCTCGCTGCCAATAAATCGATAACTTGCCATCGGCTGCGGCGCATCTCTATTGCAGCAGGCGCCGGTGGATATAGTAATTGTAAAGGAACATTACGATAGGATTAGCCGAAATTCAGTGACAAGATGACTACGTTGCGACCCTTCACATGTGACGACCTCTTCAAGTTCAACAATGTGTAAGTATAGTTGATAAATTCCGCATATCCAATGCTAATACTAATTCCGACTTGTGCTCCGCCAGAAACTTTGACCCACTTACGGAGACCTACGGGCTGTCCTTCTACACCCAGTACCTAGCCAAGTGGCCGGAGTACTTTCAACTTGCGGAGTCGCCCAGCGGACAAATAATGGGGTACAGTAAGTACTGCATTCCTTTGTGTGCGCGGTTCCTTTGTCATGTGTGCTATAAATTCTCCAGTCATGGGCAAGGTAGAAGGACACTTGGACAACTGGCACGGACACGTTACAGCGCTGACCGTCTCGCCCGACTACCGGCGATTGGGTCTGGCTGCGCTGCTCATGAGTTTCCTGGAGGACATTTCTGAGAAGTAATGAACTAAAACGCTGGATACAATCAAGACTGAACGACTAATTTTTTCCCAGAAAGCGGGCATACTTTGTGGATCTGTTTGTGAGGAAGAGCAACCAGGTGGCGATAAACATGTACACGAATCTCGGCTACATCATATACCGCACCATACTGGAGTACTACTCAGGCGACCAGGACGAGGATGCGTACGGTGAGACCCCAAATAATGTGCATTGATTACTAAGGCGCGCCTAACCGATGGGTTATCCACTTTGCAGACATGAGAAAGGCCTTATCCAGAGATGTGAACAAGAAGTCGGTCATACCGTACACGCAGCCTGTACGACTGGAAGATATAGATATGAATTGATACGATATCAACCCAGTAGCGCCCGAAATCGCATTTATGTCTAACTGATCCCGATCCACCATTTTCAGCCGGCGCGAGCGCATCACTTCGCAGCCCATTGAATTCTAGTTAATTTAGATATGTAAATAATCCGTAATCCCATGATCTGCTCGGTGATAACATGCCATTCAAACCTAACCGGATTCCCGCTTGCGAACCAACTCCCCGGCAATATTTGCGTGTTCATCCCATCCAAAAATAAGCCTGTAATTAAGTACATGTCTGCCCCGTTACCAAATTCAGTTCATATTCTCGATAATTCTTTTGACATTGAAATTATTTAAAGATTTCTTAAGCCGATGCGTAAATAACCGTAACTCAAAGATTGTTCCACCGTTCTGAAGGTAAATAACGTAAGCAACTTGATTACTTAATCACCGTAAATGACAACCAGTATCTAACGCCATCGATATATTCACCCGATTAGCGCACACACGATCTATCCATGTCAAATGTTTTTTTTCAGATCACAATGCGTGAGCTGCGCAGACAAATGCGACACGATCACTAAGTAGGACGATCCCCGGTGGATGTAGGCATAGCCATCGCAATCCCAGATGTACTTTATCGGCCAATTTCCATTCACTAATGTGCTACGTAGAAATCCCTTTGAAAAATAAAAATGAATTCCCTGGTACATAAAGTTCAATCTGCATTTCATTGAAAATCGAGGAGGAAAGCTAACTTTCCACATACCCTGAAATATCCTTGTTGAGAGGCACTTTTTTATTACTAGCAGCACGATAGATGTTGTCGGTTCAGTTCGTAATCACGTTCACGATACCCTGTGTTGTATGGGTAGTTTCGACTCAGCTCTTACGCATTTATTCCTTTATTTCAAATTCAGATTGTTGATAAAAGATTCATATATTGCCAGGTGCTTGCCAATTGTGAGTGGCCTTTCAGTCTTGGCAACCACTGTTTAATCAATAGCTAGTGCTCAGTATCTGCTTGGTATCTGATTGATGGCCCACTCAGAGCGCAAAAAATGGCGAAGAAGGGAGGAGTCCAGCAGCTCCAGGCCGACCTCGTCACGGATGAGGACTTCGAGAAGTTCCTGCAGCGATCCGGATTGCTGGGTACGTGCTCGATGGGATTGGGCGCAATCAGTCAAGCTAGTAATGCCTCTAATCCATGAGTGCTTCAGTGCTCGATATATACTCAGAGTGGTGCGGTCCCTGCCTCGGAATGGTGGGCAGCCTGCGGAAGATCAAGCTTGAGCTAGGAGGCGACAACCTGCAGCTGGCCATCGTAAGCTCCAACAATCCAAAGCACCAAAGTAGCGCACTAACAAGCCCATCTTCCCCAATATATGCCAGTGCAAGGCGGGCTCCATATCCTACCTGAAGCGATTCAACAAGAAGAGCGAGCCAACCTGGATGTTCGTCACGGTGAGTGGACCATCATAGTTTCCTATGATTTTTTTATGTTTCATTGCTTACAACATTTTCGAAATATTATTAAACCAGGGGTTTTCGAATATCATAGAATACTGGCCTCTTACATCGATCATCTTTTACATGACTCAAATTGATAAATAGCGTTTAGGTATCCATAATTTGAGTTATCTATACATAATTTATTGTTTAAATGGCCTATGTTTAACAACTTTTAAACGTTTTAGTGAAATTTGTTGTATATCAAAAGTTAGGGTATTTCAACCGCACCTCCTTTTCTACCGATCCATTAAAGGCAGAATTAAAATGTTTTGTGTACATGTATATTGAAGTCGTCCTTGCTCTGGGTGCGCTTCGTCACTACGTGATGTGCTTTTAATATAGCCAGTAAAATTAGTTACTATTTGGCATTAATTGATGATAATACGATTGCGATTCTATTTGAAACGGGAAACACTTCAGAACGGCAAGGCCATAAACATTATGTTCGGCACGGATGTGCCCAAGCTGGTGGCCATGATCACCCGGATGCTGCAGTCGACGATGGCCAAGGAATCGCACCTGAGCTACGAGATCACCGAGCTCCAGCCCATCGAGCTGCAGCAGCTGGAGGTGCGCAATAAGGCGCTGCGCCTGGCCGAGGAGATCGAGCTGGCGGAGAGCCGGCGAAAGAGGCTGGAGTACCTGCACAGCGTCACCGACTGCATCATGGCCAACCTGCCGGACATCGGAATCACGGTGTTCGGGCCACAGGTTAATCGCGACATGTTCAAGAAGCTCTCGGAGCCGGCTGATCCGCTTAAGATCCAGTGCAAGGACCGCAAGGTCTTTCCCATTCTACCTGGCGACATCGCCACGGTCAACTTCGCCGCGGAGAATCCCCTGGCCACGGATGTCATCGAGCAGCTCTACGACAAGGAGCTGCTCATGTGCTTCTGGAAGGTGGAGGAGGTGCTCGGCACTCCCCCCACCGTGCTCCGCCAATATGCCCACGAGTTGACCAAAGAGACCATCAAGCCGCCGGACGAGTTCAACGAGGAGGAGATCACCGTGCCACCCATGATAGTGCCGCTGGAGGTGACCGTGGAGATATCTGAGCCAGGTGAGAGTCTGTCATCCTGGTTGACTTGATATATTCACGAGTTTCCCCCTGGTTAGAGCCATCATCGGAGGACAGCCAGGTGCAGCCGGACGCTGAGCACCTGGCCGAGATTAGGGGCGAAAATGTAGAGGAGGGCCAGGAAGAGACGGAGGCAGAAGCTGTTCCCGCAGCTGAAACTGCTCCGGTTCCAGCTAAGAAAACCAAGACCATTCGAATACCACCGATTTGGGTGCCGAGTGACCAGCGCACCCATGCAGCGCTCATCTACACGTACTTTCGTGCCCAGACTTCGACTTTCCTTCCGCCGGATCCCGTACCAGAGCCACCACACATCGTGATGATCTTCGACGCCTACAAGAAGAAGGACCTGGCCATTCTGCTCGAGACGTGTCGCGAGGACATTCCGCTCTACGGCTTCTTCAACGGCGACAATCCGCTGACGGCACTGTTCATAGCCAACTCCGTGGAGAAGTATAATGCCAAGCCGTACGTTCCGTAAGTACTGCCAACGATCCACTGGCCAGACGCGTTATCTGTCTGATCTTGTGCTGCAGTACCGACAAGATTGTGTTAAAGGTGAACAAGATGAGTAGCCCAACCATTCCCACGCTGATGGCCTACGGTCCCAGCTATGTAAGCGCCAACTCGGTGGTGGGACATCAGGAGGCCACCCAGTTCTTTCCCGCCAACTACAAGTCGGCTCTGCAGGAGGAGGAGGAACTGCACGCCGTCAAGGCGGAGAAGCCCAAGAAGCGCAAGAAGGTAAGGCTCTGGGGGATTCGGGGAGACCCTCTTCAGCTCATTTTGTATTGTGCTACCGTTGCAGAATAAAAAGGGAGGCGATCCTGAGGAGAGCGGCAAGGCGGACGCTGGACCGGCGGATGCGCAGCTGGAGGCGGACGAAGCGGTGAAGACCTCGCCGGAGGAGGGCGCCTCCACGACGAGCAGCGGCGAGGACAGCTGCGAGAGTCGTCCTGCTACGGCCGATGGCGCCAATCCCGAGGTTTCGCAGGCCACTTAGATGACCAAGCTACATTAAAAAGTACTGATCCAATATTATGATATAATACATAAATAACCAGATATGCTTTCCCTTAACGGCAAAATTAAAAAATTATACAAACAAAATAAATTATTATTGGATATACGGTTCAAATACTTAACACTACTTAAAAAAGCTTACATTACTTTTATCTGAGCCTAACAATCGTAATAAAGCGTACATTAATTTGCATTAAAGTTTTTGTTATATTATATGTATTATTTATCTTTTTCTCTTATAAAAGCCTTCCAACTTATAAGAACGACTTTTGGTAGTTTCAATATCTTGCAGTGGATATGAAAGCTGTGCGTTCGCCATCAAATTCAATTCAATTCAGCTTAGAAATGTTCGGTGCCATATATTTCCTTGACTTAAAGGCTGGTTTTTGAGTGATTTCAGCATGAAGTGTTTGGATAAACTGAAGAAATTATCTTGCTTCATACATTAAAATATATATTATTATTTTTTTTTTATATTTCCTGTCCCATGAGGAGATGAACGCCTTAGTTGCTAGGAATAAGCTCTACAATAATCATTAAAATTTAACACAATGTGAACAATTTGGCTTTCTAAATTTTGAATTCGATAACTGGCACCGATTAGATTGCTTTCCCTGCTAATCGATTTCCCATGCAAAGGCTTATCAGCTGTTCGCCTCGTCACGAACGTGACGGCTTGTAAAATTAAATTGTATAATTGCTGTATTAAAACACAAGCTAAGCGCAACTTGCCGTCGACCGATGGATTCCAATCTGCGCAACGTAAGTGAAAGAGTGCGCGGATTTTCGCTGAACCTTACTCACTGGCCACGCCTTTCAGCTCAAAGACTTTCTCACATTATACAACAAAGTGACGGAACTGTGTTTCAGCCGATGCGTGGATAATTTCAGCCAGCGTGACCTGGACGGCCAGGAGGTATGTATCAGGCTAGGGAGTCCACGCAGGTATCCATCACTAAATGCCGCTTCACACCACAGGACACCTGTGTGGACAGGTGCGCTACCAAGTTCGCCCGCTTCAACCAGAATATGATGAAAGTGTACGTGGATGTGCAGTCCACCATCAACGCCAAGCGCGTGGAGGAAGTGGAGAAGAACGCCCGCAAGGCCGAGCAGCAGCAGAAGGAGCAGGAGAAGGAGCGACTGAAAGAGGCGGCCGCCACGGCAGTACTTACCCCTGTTCAACCGCCTGTCGCCGGCAATTTATCCATGTAGCAGCAGTGGCATGCAACGCCGCAGCTGCTGTTCTCAATCCTAGATAGCTAATCGCGGAGTCCAGCACGCCCTCCACACACGCAGTCGGCAACCACACGTACTTTTTCTGCAAACAACCAAAAAACGAACCAACAAACACCACGCTATGCGAGGCATTTGCCTTGTTGCGCTTATCGGCCTACCAGGAGCTGGCAAGTCCTCGCTGTGCACTTGGCTGCTGGGTCAGCAGGCTGCCCTCCGCGTCCGCCACATCGTTCATGTGTGCTACGACGACTTCCTTGACGGCACACCATCGGCCGAGCTGGCTTATAAGGAGCAGCGCGTCCGCATTTTTAAAGTAATTGAAAAACTCATTTCCGCCATTCAAGAAGACACCGATTGGCCGCCGCAATTCCGCCGCATTTCCTCCAAAGGTGACTGCAACAGCAAAGGGCACCTCATCCTGTGCGACGATAACTTCTACTACCGCAGCATGCGCCACAAGCTTCACCAGCTGTGCCGAGACTCCGGTTGCGTCTTCGGACAGATATACATGGCCAGTTCGCTTGACTCCTGTATGCAGGCGAACTCGGTTAGGAGCGATGCCACTCGAGTGCCGGTGGACGTGGTGCGGCAGATGAACGAGCGGCTAGAGGTGCCAGACACTTCGGAACCCTGGGAACGCAATAGTCTCACACTTCATGATCTCGATATGGAAACCACAGGATCAGCGTTGCTAGATTTCATTAGTGCCCTGCTCGATTTGCCCGCGAAGGAGGTGACGACGGGCTTGCCATCGGCGGCAGAAAGAGGCCTACGGCAAGATCAGTCCCTGGTGCACTGCCTGGATTTGCTTCTGCGGACGCGCATTAGGGCGTTTCTCGAAAGACTGCCACAAGAGGACAAGCGCTTGGCGGGCCAAACACTGAACAATAGGCGCAAGGAAATATTGACAAAATTCCGCACAGAGGGCGGCGGCAAACAGACAGACGGCGATAGTGAGGGCGACGATTTGGACTACTATGTAAAGTTGTTAAACTAGGCTCAGATCAGCTAAATTCGTTTGTATGCCACACACTTATGTGCCTAGCGATCTAAATATATACATATGTTACTAAACGCTTCCTTGGAATTAAAACTACATAGATTTATTATCAAAAAAATTAGTTATTCTAATGGAGCCACCTCAGACCACCTTCACCTGGCTGACATCTCGCTTCTCGATCATGCGCATCTGTTTCTTCTTCATGCGCTTCAGTTTGGCGGGATTCTTGATGACCTGGACGACTTCTGAGCGGCGCTCGTTTGCCAGGCGACGCTCGGCGTTCTCCACGCGGCGCTGGTGCTTCTGGACGGCGTCCTCCTTACGCTTGTCCTTGATCTCCTTGGAGCGCTCCTTGATGTAGCGCAACTCGTCGCGCAGGGCCGTCTTCTTCTCGAAGGACAGTCGGTTCACCGTCTTCTTGATCTTGCTGAATCTGCAAGGGAAGCCAAGGGATTAGATGACAATGCTCTCGCAACGGAGAAACCACTTACTTCTGTTTGGGCGTCTTCCACGGCCGGTTCGACTTGGGCTGGCCGCGTGGAATGCTGTTCTCCGGCTTTTCTGCCTTCTTTACCTTCGCCGGCTTCTTGGCTGGCACAGTTTCTGTGGCGGATTCACTCATTTTGCGTTTTAGTCCAATGTAAAATAAAATGCAAACACAAATACAATACACGAATGCACGTGTTGCCTCACCGTCTATCGATAACCGAAACATATGTCTGCAAAATCAATCGGTAATCGGGGTTGCCCTCGATTACAAAACTATTGGGCGCCATTTCAAAATTGTTTTAAAATGATTTGATGCACATCTTTATAATCTTCTTTTTTGAGTATAAAGATGTGTAAAGCTGTATAAGTGGTTCTTATCTTGAGGGTCGAAAGCATTCTACGGCATATACAGAAACGAAGGGTGTAAGCTAATATATATTATCTATTAACCTGTACCTTATTTCAGTTTTAATAGGAATTACTCTTTCTCCAACAAACTGTTTTTACGCCATTTATTTTAACAACATCGTTTCGGTTTTTCATTTGCAAAAATTATATATTTTGTTTAACTAGGAACAGGGTACCCAATATTGCTTAAATGTGCGTTGTAATTTTGTTCAAATCAAATACAGCATTTTAGAATTGGGCATTTCTCAACCCACTTTTCACCTCAAATGTTAGGAGTACCTTATGTTTGCTTTTGAACCAGGAAAAACAAGAATTTTATTTCACTACAATTTAACAAATTCGACGGGGCTCGCCAAACCCAGCAGACGATGACTGCCCACCGATTTCCTGGCAACTTTGGCATTAGTCTACATATGTACAAAAATTTACGTCGATAAGCTGTGGTCGCCCAAATGGGAGCGAGTTCAGGAACCGGACGACTTCGCCACCTGATTGCTTCGATTGTGCTGGTCGATGTTGTAGTGATAGAAGAATGACTTTCCGTACTCGAAGGACGAAATCATTATCGCACACGCGGGAGCCACCTTGAAGAGTCGGGGGCCCAGTCCAGAGAAAATGGCAGGCACTCCGCCCAGGCGGTAAATGCTGGCTAGGCGCACCGCCACAGACTTGGTGGCCACTTGCTTGGGGGGATTATCTGCCGTAATGCAAACCGAACCATTGTCAATGCTGCTACGGGAGTGGGTTGCAGCAAGCTGAACCACATTGGGCCTACCTGAGAATATGAACTTTTCGCCGAATTCGATTTGCTCGTGCGTTTTCACCACATCGAAGGGCGTGGTGATCGTGGCGGCCACCTGCAAAGGGAAATATGAAGAGTTTTCCCAATCGATTGAAATGTTTTGTAGTGCAATTGTCTTACCGATCCGGATATCGCTCCCGCCGCAAAGCTGAAGCTGAATGTGGGCTCCACCACGCCAAAGGAGCTCTTCAGGTACTCGTAGCAGGTCCAGTAAATGCCGGAGAAGGGCACGTCGCGCAGGATAGTTGGCGGCAGACCACGCCACAAGCCCAGAACTCCCTGTGACTGCACCACTTGGCGAATGGTGCCAAACATCTCGGCGTGCGTCATGCGCTGCGACTGCATCTTGGTTCGGATTAGCTCGACGGGACTCACGCAGGATACGGCTAGGATGCGGGCCGAAACGCCGGCCAGCAGCGGCACCAAAAATGGAATCGGGAGTGGAATGTCGTGGGCACTGGTATCCGGGCGACGCATGTACTTGTAGTGGATGTCAGTGAAACGGGCCTTGAACTGCTCATAAGCCACAAAGTATATGATGGTCGAGGGCAGGGCCGAAATAAGCGTTGGGCTGAGTCCCGACCACAGGGTGCCGATGCCCTCTGTGCGGCTGATTTTGATGAATGCGTCCTAGAGAGAGGCTTGTTTAAGTCCGGATGCCGGTTTTCCGAACGATTACCACTTACAATGGTGCCAGAAAAACGGGGAGCGGGCTTGGCGGCTGCTGGGTTGGGCGTGTCCGGGCCGCAGGGGCAGATGTGGTCCATGAGGCCGTTGCAGTAGAGGAAGCACTTGTTTGAGAGCAGCGCTTGCTGCTGAGCCTGCAGGCGGGTTTTGATCACATCCAGAGGGGTCACTGCAATGGCAAATATATCAGTCAAACACTGGGAATATGCTCAACGGTGTGGCCGGACAACATACTAAAGCAAGCCGTCACCATGGCGCCGGTACAGGCGGATGCTACTTGCTGCAGTGGCCGGATCCGAAACCGGGGGTCCGTCATCGTGGCTTTCGACTGGTTTTGGCTGGAAGCAGCCGCCATTGCTGCCATTGCCGCACTGGCAGCAGCTAATTGGCCGCAGGTCTCCCTCTTAGCCATGGCAGATGCACTTGCTCTTCCACGCGATTGGCGGTTGCTTCAATGGGAGCCCCGGTAAGCTGGTGGCGGGTAACGGTGATGTACGATGAGATGAGAAGAGAAGGTGAGTCGCGTGCCACTCAACGGTGTGTTTGTTGTCGCTGTTCAGCTGGGCTATTCGTCAAGCCCCCAGGTCATTGTGAAATAATTTACGGGTCCAAAAGAAAACACCGTGCTAGTCCGTCTTTTCCCATTTCCATTCCGTTCCACGTCGATCAGCTGTTGCCACTAGACGCTATCGATAGTGAAGTCGGAACGGAAATGCTATCGCGGTGCAATCGATAAGCGTCATTGTTGATCGTTCGAATGAATTCAAAAGTATATTTATCAGCATATTTTGAGTCTACTTAGTTTAACTACTCTTTGTTCTGCAAAATTAAACAATACAAATACTAATGATTTACAAGGAGATACTCTTTCTCCAAAATTGTAACAAACTAAGCTTTGCGTAGGGAACTACATATGTACATATGTATGTACAAAGTTAAAGTAGAAAAAGTTAAGCAATTATAACTCTTAAAAACCACAGCATTAACTATATAAAACACATATGTATGTATGTATTTCTTGTTCAATTGTACTAATGAAATGCTATCCTCTACCTTGCTTTATCATTCCCAATTCATATATTTACATACCAGCCTCCTGGAGATCCAGGTTGTAGTGGAAGAAGAACGACTTGCTGTACTCAAAGGTGGAGATCATGATGGCACAGGCGGGAACCACACGGAGCATGCGCGGCATCACCCCGACATAGAGACCCCGCACTCCCTGAAGCCTGTAGATTTGGCGTATTCGTGAGATCATCGACGGCTTAGAGTTGGAGACGGTACTGGGCGGCGTCTTTGGTCGTGCTCCGGTACCGGCTTCTGCAGCTGCTCCTGTTCCCGCTCCAACCTCCTCGTACAGCACGTCCTGACCCAGCTCAATCTGCGTGTGTGTGGTGATCAGGTCAAAGGGCATGGTCACAAAGGTAGCCACCTGCGGGATGACGTTTCCAGAACTCGATTACTCTCGAGGAAAGCTATGGTTTACGGTGTGTGGCAGAGCTCTGCTCACCCTCACCCACCGCTCCGGAGATGGCGCCTGTGAGGAAGCTAAAGAGGAATGTGGGCTCCGTTACGCTGAAGGCCCGCTTCATCGCCTCGTAGACCGCCCAGTAGGTCCCTGAGAAGGGTGCGTCCCGCATCACGGTGGGTGGCCAGCCCCGCCACAGACCCAGGATACCGTGCCGGCGGATTAACGAGCGCAACACACGCCAGAGCTCTGAGTAGGTCATGTACTCCGACTGCATCTTGATGCGCACCATCTCGATGGGCGTGATGGCCGTGACCACAATGGTGCGCGAGCAAATGCCCGAGGCCATAGGCACGTAGTAGGGCAGCGATGTGGTGGTTACCGATGGCGCGGTGGCGCTCACATTTATTCCTTTGGTGGCCTGGTCAAGGGGATCGCCACCGTCGGCTCCAGGCACTTGGTCCTCGATGCCGGATCCCTCAAACTTCTGCGAGACCAAGTAGAAGTGTGACAGCGAATTCTTGATATACTCGTACGTCAGGAAATAGATAATCGTGGAGGGCAGGGCCGAAACTAACGTGGGACTAAGGCCCGCCCACAAGCCGCTGAAGCCACTATTGCAGATGATCTTGACAAAGGCATCCTGCGCCCGAAAAATAAGATACATGTTATATGAACACCTATGCATATACTCAGTTGATAAGTCGCACTTCCATTACCGATAATCCTAAAAGTCACTCGACTATATCTGTGCTTGGGTGCTAGGAGGCCATACTCACCATGGCGCCACGTAGGGGCCGGAGGTTTCTCGGATCCCGGCCTGGTTTTGGGACGCAGATGTCGCTGGAGCGACACACGTGGGTCATCAGTCCGTTGTGGTAGACGTAGCAGATCTTGGAAACAGTCGGTCGCTGGCGAATCGCATGCTGGGTCTGGACGCGCGTCTTCACAACTTCCAGGGGCGTCACTGGCCGAGTAAGGTGAGGTTAGGCCTCGGAGTAACCAGATCCTCCGGAATAACTTACCCACAAACGTCGTGATGAGGCCACCGACGAGGGCAGACATGACCTGCTGCATTGGTTTGATGCGGTACCGCGGATCCGCGCTCAGGATCAGCGTGGTCAACCGCAGCGGATCCATCTCATTGCATCGACTCCCTTCCTTCTCGCCGCCATTTGCCGTTTGGGACATTAGCTCCGGCGGCATCATTTTGTAATGTATTTGCGCAGAAAACAGTTACTTTTGAGTATTTCAGGCAAGATGTCGCCTCACAATTTGGTTGATTCGAATTAGACAGGACCACCGGTCTTCAGGGAAGACATGCCTGTGCAGCGCCTACAATTTGGTAAGTTTGTGTTGCACACAATATATCTGAGTCGAAGGGTTTTCGTAACGAACGGACTTTAAGTTGAGAAAAATATTGAATGTTGAACTGAAACGTCAAGCGTAGCTTATATGATTCCGTTTTCCTATTGTATTATAAATAATATTTCCCACAGTTAAATGTGAATTAAATCCATAAACTTTATTTAATTCTCTCGATTCCCTAAAGGGAGAGGTACATCATTTCAAAAGTGAAAAGTATCAGCAGCTAATTAGTCAATGATGCCCAACTCACTGATCAAAATCCACCCAGTTGGATAAATATTGATTTATTATCGATGGAAGGAAAGGAAAACCAATGGGGGACAACTACGACAAAATTGATTACGTTTAATGCGAAAATTATAAATATGAATTAAATTAATCAAATTTAATAATAATTTGAATTATATTTAAGTTAATGAGTAGTACGTCAGTAACATAGTTTAGCTTTAAGTCAGAACCAAAAAAAATTAATCATTTAGATAGGATTGGATTAACTTCAATGTGTGTATGATTTAATCTGATCGGCGGCAGCTCGGACTCCTCCTGCTGCGTGGGCCATGGTGACTGGATAACTGGGCCTTCACTTGTGCGCGATGGGAATCAGTGTCTCGCCGGCGGTGAGTGCTGGCAGGGGAGCATCCACGGTCAGAACTCCGTCCTTGCTAAGGGACGAGCGGATGGACTCGGGATTCACACCCTTGGGCAGCAGGAACTCCCGGTTGTACTCCCTGTACACGCTCTTTGTGTCCGACTTCTCCTCGTGCTTGGCGTGCACCTAATCCAAGGGAAGATATTTCTGTTAGAGCGACTCTTGGGCATAACAATAATGAGCAGAGACTTACCAACAGCTTCTGGTCGACGGTTTTCACCACAATTTCCTCGGGCGCATACTGGCTGACATCGAAGCGCAGCTTCAGCACTTTGTTGTCGCCTTCATCCTGCAATTACGGATCTAAGTGTTATCTTTTGTCAACTAAGGATAGCTTTCTTGCATTGCTTACCTGGATCAAGGGTGAGCTAATGTCGGAGACGTAGTTCTGTTGCTTTGGGATTCGGGATGGCAGAGCCGAGTTTGTCGTTGAGCTGCAAATAGGTTGAAATTAATATGAGTATAACAATTACATAAAGCGAAACTTAAAAACAAATAGTTTCCAAATAAAATAAAAAGTGTTAGGGATGCGTGAAGGAACCTGGTGGAGGAGTTTGTGGTAGTGGTAGTAGTGGTTCTAGTGGTCCTAGTGCTACGAAAGGTATTTTGCAGTGTGCGCGTGAAGGCTTCCATGCTTGTGCTTCTCCGGGATGAAACTGATCCGGACAAAACGAACCCAACTTAAATGAAGCCGCGATTCTCGAGGGCAATCTAATAATAGATCTGGCTTCCGCTTGGAAGCGATATACATGTGTACGGATCTGGGGGAAGCAGCTGGCACCCTCGAAATATAAATTTCCATATGTCTGCATTGGGTGTTACATTTTCTATTTTAAATATCTTCCCATAAGGGATTTGAGAGCCGGGGAAATCTTCAAGGCTTTATGTACATATATAGATCTAAGTTGTGGCTTAGGACACAGTATGCTTAGAAAGACTAAACATAAAAATAGACCTTGCTTCCCAGCTGCTAGTGAAAGATGTGAAATTATATCCATACATATGGATGGCATTAAAAATGTGTTCTATTTTAAAAAATTGGCCTTTAATTACAGTTATTATCAGTTTATCTATAGATTTTAAGTATTCTAGTAATTTAAATCTATACTGAGCCTAAAATTGTTTCTATAGAAATAAAGTTGATATATGCAGCTAAACATGCGATGCATTAGGTACCGAGTTTCTAGATTAGTCTGTGAATATGTTTGGGAATTGCAATTACACTAAACAATAAAGTAGTAACCAAAAATAAGAGGTTGAGTAAGAAGGAAACATTGAGGATATACAGAAAATAAAAGTTTAGGTTCTAAACTTTCTACGTTATTGTACCTGGTAGTTGTTGTTTTTTTAGTAGAGCTTTTGTTTTAAAATAGGAGAGGAGATTATTATAATATGGAAATTATTGCGGTTGTTTAATATTTTCCAAGCGGCAAGAAAGAGAAAAATAGAGAAAATATGTTTATATTGAGTTAGATAAAAGGGTCAGCAAATGCTTAAACTTATGTATGTATAAAGAAATACCCTAGAATCAATATTAGAGTTCTGCAATTTTTAAAGATAACCAACACAACTTGTAAAAATATTTGGATATATGGTTTCTTGTAATTATTATTTAATAATTGTTGGTTCATGTTTTTCAAGTTTCTTATAAATATGTACATATGTATGTACATTAATGATAACTTCTTTGTTTCCCGTACTTCTAGCCCTCAATCTGTTGTAGACTGGAAGTTTATCCATTAAGATACTTGAAGCTAGCGTCTAAAATACACAGTATTTGTAATTAGGAGCAGAAAACGGTAATTACTTTAGCTGTGCGACCATTTTTAGCCAAGGTATTCACATTTACCCAGGAAATAATTTATTGGTCATAATTGTTCACTTTGTATTACATTTTTTGATACTGCTCTAGCACTTAAACTTTTATTTTTGGCCTTTTAGAACAGAATTTAATAGAGTATAAATATCAAAACTTATTTAATTTTACTTTATTTTGTTTGTGATTTCATTGTAATTTTTTTTACTTCACTCTCACTTAAATAGTAATAGTATGTAATCTGATTTTGTAACTGTTTATATATGTGTAAGTTTTTAAGGTCCACCTTAATCTGCATTCTTAGCTTACGGGATTTGATTTACCGTTAAGCCGCTGTGCGTGTCGTGTCGCGATGAAGCCTTTGTAGGTGTGTGTATGCTTGCGAGCGAGAGTCGGTGATAAGCGGCCATCAAGTGCCACTCCGCGAACTAAGCGGAGGAAGCTTATCAATCGGAGCCGAAACGTGAACGTGCGTGGGCTTTTTGGCGACCTTGCGACGTGCTTTCGAGGTTGATCGCCCCTCGAAGAGAGAAATCAATAGCGAGCTAATGTTAAGTACCAATAACCGTTAGCCGCCAGGCCAAAGTTTCTTTGGACATCATGAAGAGGCACCTGCCCTCCCACTCTGGCAACCGCTCTCACTCCCACCCTCTCTCGACAGCACACGTACGTACGCGTGTGTGTGTGCGACTACAATATCTCGCTGGCATCTGATGACAATGATGTCATGCATATTTTTTCGTTATTGAAAAGCCAAACGAAAGGAAACCAAAGAAGAACGAAAATAAACACAGGCACGAGAGACAGCAAAGAAATCAGAACAAGCGCAAACAAAATGACTCTCTTTTGTTGTTTGCGTGCGCGCGTGTCGAGTGTGTGTGTGTAAAAATATGTCGAAGTCAAATATCGATTACCGGCGACGATCGCCGCTTTGTCATCGATTGGAATCGCATTGAATCGAGTCGAGTCGAAGCGCAGCGCATCGCAATAGCTAAAAATTGACATGATATCATCGCTCTCCGCTGCTCATTTGAATTATCAGCATCCAGCCACCAATATTGGCAACTAAATCGCCGCAGCGTGTGCTCATCCCAATTGAAAACTGGCCGTGTGTATGAATGCTTTTCGCACAGAGCTATTTGCTGTGTAAATATGTACAACAAATGTATGATCTTAGCGTACTTATTTGTTTAAACTGTGCGCACACACAACCGATCGCAAGGCCGATTAATGAGTCTATAAATTAGGCAAACCGTTGGTTTTGCCTATGTTTGGTATCCGATCTGGCCAACAAAATTTCCATGCATCTGTATAAGATAATCGCTTCAATTTATTTCATTTCATTTCTAAATCCGTCTGAATCCGCAGATTGTTCGAATATAAGAAGGCGCCACCATTGAAGTGCAGTTTAGCTTACGGCCAAGTCGCAAATAAGGCCCTGCACTACCTACAATCGATCGTTAATATATGTACATACATATGTATGTACAAGAAAGTTTATTTAAAAAATTTGAAATTGCCCGAACAGCTTTTGGCAGCTACGTGGGAACTGCATATTTGTAAACTTGTTTTTGTAATGCCACAATTAAATATAGTTGCGAATCCAATTGCAGCTTGTAGTGGAAACTAAACAACTCAGTGTCCACGGATGGTCGAGATATTGTGCCCTAAATATGTATGTATGTAGTTAAAACAACAACTATTGCTTGGGGTATGCACGTCAAATCCAAATCCAAGTAGCCCTAACTTCGGTAGGGGAAACCTACCTGTATAGATATATCGCCCTGTATCTGGGCGCGCGTTTATTCCGCGCTGAGTCATTCAGATATCACGCAGCGTTTTAATCGAGGACACGCCACCTCCAAAGCCGCATACATAGGTCAAAGGTTGCGGCGATGTGTGGCGGACAGTGGGCTGTTATAGGCAGTTATATAGGATCGGCGATTGCATCGGTAATATGATTGAATTATTTGGCATAAACATATATACCTAAATACTATCTGCTAAATAAAACTGCTAGACTACGTGACCAATCTCTGCCGATTAGGCTAATCGCCCAAGCACTGGCACCCAACCTAGGCTGCCACTGTGAGTTGCCTTCCTTTCCAATTAAATTTGCAGCCAGGAACAGGAACACAGGTGTAGCTGGGGGCAACCAATTTGGGTTAATTTCCTTTCACTGCCGACTTTGGCGTTGAATGGACAAAGTTGAAAGAGGGGGCTGCCGAGTTCTTGAAGAGTGGAAAGAGTGGGCGGGAAGTTTCTGTTGTGGCCATGCAAATGCAGTGGCGACCATGGCGAAGCCAACAACAAATAGTCCATCAGTTCGATTGCGTCATACGCCGAGGTCGACCCAATAGCAACCAAAACTGGCGCCCACGCAACGCAACTCCAATGGAAAGGCTAAC